TCACCGCCACCCCCAGGACATAACACGCTCCTGCCACACCCCCTATCCTAAACAGACATTAAACCCGCAACCTCTCCGCCTCCCCGGAGAATCAAGGAAAGGATTAAAAAGCAATATTGGATTTGGACATATTGCAGCAATCATAATTCTAAACACGGATAAAACCTATCTCCCGGACAATAAAGCAACTCTTGGGAATCCCACCTCACCTCTTCCATCCTGCAGCTCCCGATTCCAGTGCACACTCCAGTCCTCCTCTTTCAGCGATCCTTACCACCTACGCACCCCGCCCCTCTACCTTGTGTATCATTGCTTTTTCCCCCTCTCATTTTTACAAGCTCGCAGCTACTGCTGATTATTTTCTATTATAAAATAGAAATTACTTGTCGACTTTTGTCAATATGTTTATGCTTTTACTGAATTACGTTTGTAACTGACCTAATTTCTGAATTTCTCATTCCAGGTTTCGTCTACTGAAGCACAGCCGATCTCGGTGCTCCCTTCCCACAACCTCACTAGCCGTCCACCAACACTACACCAGAAATCACAGAGCAATTCCCTGTTAAGCACATCCATACCAGCCCTACTGAAATGGACATTAGGATGGACTCATAATTCTGCCTTTTTCAGCTTTAACAGCATGATTCTACCTGATGAATATGCTTAAATTATCACGTTATAAACCAAGCAATCTCTCTAATCTAGACGGCTGCAGCGCTCGGTTGCAATCAACATTACACCTGCCACCCGATTTCTGGCAATCGGAGGTCACAATTACATTTCGTAGTCCGTTTAACATTCGGATGCAAAAGTAGCCCACACATTTATGCTTAAAAACGATCCGCTGGATTTCGCCAATAACTACGGTGTTTGCACGTAATTCACCTACAAGTTCCCGTTTCTCTCTCCCTAATATCCCCCAGCTAAACTAGTGACCGGTTTTCTAATATTTGCATTCTCTTTGCGGAAGAACCTCCGGCTTAAGCACTTCTATAGAATTCTTAAGCATCAATTTGGAGTGATAGAATTTCAAGCATTAATAAGCTATTTGAATAAATCGACAATCAGTCCCCTTTTATATTCTGGAATAAAAATATCACGCTAAGCATAAACTGCTCTCCATCTAGAACATCAAACACACATGCGCATTATCCCGCAGGGATGCCTTTTCGTCACTCACCTATTTCATCTCGCAGCAGCAATCTCCGGAATAGAAGAGAAATGATCTAAATCCGATCTTGGCCGTAACAAACTCTGCCTGAAGGGCGTCGCGCACCAGAGGCGCCGACGGCGCGGTGACGCGACGCACTTACGACAGAGAATAGTAGATTAATGCACACCAGACTCACGCATTCATACTTTATCAAATAAACTAATCAATTATACAAATAGCGCTCCGCGGCGCAGCAGAATACGAAGTGTCATGAATTGTGGCTGGGCACTACGGACAGCCGCATTGACTTCCTTATTATTTATTTCCTTCCTGTGAAAGTCAATGGTTACAGGTTTTCAGCTTTCTTCAAAATGTTGTCTTTAGCGTTTAACACGGGAGTCACTAACCTCTGAAACTAAGAGCTACTTCGGGCACCGATTAACGTGGAGGGCTACCAGTTGGATAAACACTTCTCAAATAACAAATTGCTCAATTTACTTATAATTATAATTTAAGTTTTTGGTTATTTTTTAATAATGAATAATATTCATCCAGGTGTAGTCAATGATCATGTTATGATTCTCTCAAAGTTACCAACAATGATTTAACAGGGTAGGAAATACCCCGTAATTAATATATCAACGTGCAACACTATTTTATTTATCTTTGCAAATATTTACATTTTTAAATGATTACTTCTATTTTAGAGAAAGCTTACTTGTAAGTGGTGTTATGGTGAGCTATTTTAGAACAGGCCTGTGAGCAACACACGAGAGCCTCGTGAGCTATCTGGTGCCCATCGGTACCATATTTGGTGACTCCTGGTTTAACAGAAATGAAATTCATAAAGGTTCGTAACCATCAGGTAGCGCTTAAAGCATGCGACCTGCTTATGCTTCCTTCCTTAAGCGCTGGAATAGAAGCCATTCATTTATTAGCTATCCAATTTCATCCTCAGTATATCCTTTTTACACAGATGCTGCCCCCTTCGTGGGTATATTATCGGGGCCGCCAATGCGCTTCTAACGGGCAATATAGTCAATACATTCTGAAAAAAAAAAAAAAAAAAAAAATACTGCTGTACATGTTCCTAGTTGCATAGGAAATCGCTGACTCTCTTTTGCTTTATTTTCAGAAACTGGTATCAGAAGCAGAGCCGCAGCTGACTCCATCTCTCCTTTTAAGATGATAATCCCATAACCACAGCATACACAATTTGCGTCAGCATTCATTTAAACATTTTAAGTTACCCCAGAACACCTCATCAGTTTCTCACTGCTCAACATATCCACACATTCCGTTCAATAACATTTTTGGTTTCATAACACCTTAAAGTCATAGGACCATTCAGGCTTCCCACCAGATTCATAATCCAGTCACTCATTCAGAATTGGAGCCACCACCACAGCAGCACACAAGGGCTATCGTAACAACACATACAAACACTAGGAAAGTAGTCTCCCGACGCCTTCAAATCTTATATCTGACTCAGCCACAGCCATCTCAGGGAAGCTCAGAGGACCCTCACCAGCAGACGCAGTAATCCCAGCGGCCAAGGGCATGGGCCTAGTCCAGGGAGAGAATACAACCCAACCATACCAGCTTCCCGAGGGCAGAGGAACTACCCAGTCTCCCAAGGGCGCGGGCATGACCCAGCCATCTAGCTTCCTTTCTTCCTTCCAGCTGATTTGCACTCAGCCTTCTCCCCCTTTTCACTCACCTAACTCCAGTAGGAGTTCTCTCCCTGCCCAGGCCCCCTTGTCACCCCCGCCCCCCCCGGCCGCTGCCACAGAAGTTTTCACTGCCCCCCAACTTTTCTAACTTCTGTAGGACCCCGCCCCCCCCATGGCTCTGGCCCCCGCAGGGGCGTTACCCCGAGCTTCGATTCTCGCAGGAATCATCTCACTGCCCTGGCCTTAGCTTTTTATATTATGTCATTCCATAATGACATATAGTATAGCACTATTTATTTTTCTCTCTGTTTGATTTTATTTATATAAATTTATATCTATATGCACCCACGCATATAAATATGAATTTATATATAGTGCTGTCACCCTCACGCTCTGTTCCCGCAGGAACACCCCCAGAGCACCTATACCGCCCGTCACCCTCCAGTAAGAAGTCTTCACCTCCCCCTCATCTTTCCCGACTCCTACTGGAGCAGCTAAATAGCTCACCCAACCCCGAGCTGTGACACGAGTCATGTCACCGACCCTCCCCGGCCCTAGCTTTTATTTATGTTTATTTTTGTTTATTTCTCACACTTATCTTTTATTTTTTAAATTTATTTATATATATGTATATATATATGCACCCACGCATATAAATATATATTTATATATAGTGCTGTCACCCTCACGCTCTAACTCCCGCGGAGTTAATCCCGAGCACCGGACCCCCGCAGGGGTCATCGCCCAACTGCCATTTCCCCCTTCAGCTGGGGCTTCACCGACCATTCCTTTTCCCGACTCCAGCTGGAGATGGCACATACAGCTCTCTCTCCCGCAGGAGAGCCAAGAGCTTCGACTCTCGCAAGAGTCAGTAAAAACGCCCCCCCAAGGCCATAGATTACCCCATTATATATTTATATATCTATATGTTTCATATAAATATATAATTATATATAGTGCTGCCACCTCCCAGCTCAATCTCCGCAAGGAGTGTTCCTCGAGCAAATTACTCCTTTGGAGTCCCCGCCCCCCCTGCCCCCCTGCCCCCCTTCACCCCCCTCTCCAGCCGGAGTCCTTCACTCCCCTTCCCTTGTAATGACTCCAGCAGGATTCCCGCCCACCCCATGGCTCTGACCCCCGCAGGGGTCTCCCCGAGTCTCTACTCCAGCAGAAGTATTCACAGCCCAAGCCAACTCTGCTCGGGTTCCCGCAGGAACCTGTTTCACCCTTTGCTCCAAAGGAGCCCTCTTTACCTTTTCTTTTTCAAATAACTATATCCAGCAGCCGGATATAGCATTTCAAGCCTTTTGGGGAGTTTCTTCGAATACACGGCTGCTGTCCCGAGCTTCATGCATTTGGGGAGCTCTCGAGAACCACCTGATCTCGTACTCCCCTCACATGCTCTATGGACCTGGCGGGAGCCCTGGGCTCAACTATCTCCGAGCTCAGGGTTCTCTCCCGGGACAGCATGCCAAACCTGCTTACAGCTGTCAAGCAATATCTAAGTGTGAACTCTTGAAGTGAAGTTTTTAAACTAATTTCGAGAGGAGCACGTGATATAATTGACAGCAGCTGGCCACCTATCTACACTCATTAGTTAGCCAATCAGATCTATCCTAACCCACTATAAGTAGCCTAGCTAGACATTACTCCCTTATCTTCGTTTTCCGAAGAAACCCCCCATCCACCCCTTTCTCCTCCTTTTCTCCTTTACAAAAAGGGGAGCTCTCGAGAACCACCTGATCTCGTACTCCCCTCACATGCTCTATGGACCTGGCGGGAGCCCTGGGCTCAACTATCTCCGAGCTCAGGGTTCTCTCCCGGGACAGCATGCCAAACCTGCTTACAGCTGTCAAGCAATATCTAAGTGTGAACTCTTGAAACAGAGGTTACAGATTTTAGCACGAAAGGCTAAACTTCCCTGCCTAAAACAGAGGATACAGATTTTAGCACGAAAGGCTAAACTTCCCTGCCTAAAACAGAGGATACAGATTTTAGCAGAAAAATGCTAAACTTCTCTGGCAATGCAGAGGATTACTTATTCCTCTCTAAAATAAAATTTAGAGGATAACTTAGCTAACTAAACCCACAGCTGTTTGTTAACTCTTCTCTGACGGCGCAGAGGGTAACTAGATGTGCTGGTTTTGCGGTTCTTTTTATAGAGTGAAACTCACCAAATCGTGGTTGAACTGAAAAGGTTCAGTCTGAAGTGGTCTGATCTTTGTATTGCTGAGTGACTTCAAATTGCAGTTGAGCTGAAGATTCCGTCTGAAGTGAAGTTTCCTTGATCTTGAAGGTTCAAGTTGAAGTTCAGGTGGATTTCAGTCTTCTGTGGCAAATTGTTGAGAATTTGAGGATTTCAGTCTCTATCCGGGTCACGGCACCAAAACTGTTGTAAACTTCTAAGAGCCCACAAAAAACCAGGGAGAATCTTTCGGTTGTCTTCAAAGCAGAATCCTTTTTAATAAGAGGAAACTCAGCGTGGCTGTGGCGTCATCGAAAGCAAACTCTCAACTCCACAGCAAAGCAATACATTTTATACATCTTACAGCATGTAGGTGGGGTCAGTCATGGGGGGCAGTAAAACAAAGCATGCAAATGAAGTCTGGGTGCCATGGTTGCAAATGAAGTCTGGGTGCTATGCTGATCTCATCAATAGATAAGTACATCATTACAACAATGTGCAAATGATGTTCTGGAGACAGGGAATACAATAGATACAGCCATGCTGTGAAACCATTAATTACATCACTTTAACATACAAATGAAGTCTGTAGTCAGCAAGGCAAGGTTAAATGTCCCTCCTATATGGCACGTCAATGCAATGATTTAATTAAAGAAAACCAAAGAAAATAACTTTTCAGTTATACGTAGAGTATTGTTCATTTGGAATTAGATGCTAGAAATTTATATTTCCACAGTATCAACCAATCAGTAAACCCTAATGAACACATTAAGATCCACACTGGTGTGAAAGAGTATTTGTGCTTTGAGTGTGAGAAGACTTTTATTACAGCTCTAAAATTAAAACTGCACCAGACGTTTCACACTGGACAGTAGTGATGGAAAGTTCGTATCATTTTACTTACTTGGATCTTTGAGTCTCGTTCATCAAGATGACAGAATCTTTTTTCTGAGTCACGTGACGGTAATGGCGGAGTAGCAGCTCAACATTTGGTCTCCGCAGCTCAGTGGTATATTTTTAGTATATAAAATAAGACATATAACGGCATATACTTTAAGACCTTGTGAATGGACATACGATCATGCCCACTACCCAGAAGAAGTTGAATCTGTCGGCAAAAACCTCTAAATCGACGGAGATTAAATCGCCTCAGGAGGACAGTCAATCAACGATCATGGCGGACCAGGTGTAGTCGTTGCTGAGCCGAGCTGAGACAAACAGCTTGGTAGAAAGAATATCAACAGAGGTGCTTAAAGGTGTCAAAAGCTCGTTTGAAAAGAAAATCGACCCTGTTCTTAAGAAACTTGAGGAATGTTCCTCAAAAATTGGGACTTTGGACAAGCAAATTACTGAGGTAGAATGCCGCGTATCAGACTCCGAGGATGCGATGACCACCTATGGTGCGAAACTTACTGATCTCGCGGAAAAACTGGCGTCCGTGCTGTATAAAAATAGACCATCTGGAGAACAAAAACAGAAGATGCAATGTGCGGGTCGTCGGTCTTCCAGAGGGATGCGAGGGCAGTAATCCGATCGCTTTTTTCAAATCCTGGTTACCAGAGCTGCTACAGGTCAGTTTCAAAGGTGAGCATGTTAAACTGGATCGATGCCACCGCGCCCTCACTCGCCGCCCACCGCCTGGCCAGCGACCCCGAGCAGTTATCCTAAAGTTTTACAACTTTCAGTATAAATTTCGGATCATGCAAGCAGCGAGACAAACGTGCATGCTGTCCTACAACGGTGCTTCAATTATGATATTTGAGGACTTTTCTGTGTTGGTAATGAGGAAAAGGCAGGAATTCTACCATGTTAAACAGCAGCTTAAAGAGAAGGGTATTGCCTTTGCCATGTTGTATCCAGCAGTTCTCAGGGTCAAGGTGAACGGTCAGGAGAGGTCTTTCAAGGACCCAAAGGATGTCACAGCATTTCTGGCGTCTGCCCCACTACAGAGCGGCTCACCTGACCGCACTGCTACTGACTGAGCATCCTTTCCCCATCCCAGTATGGTTTTAGAGGGTTTAGCTGTTAAGATCGGACATTTCGTTTGAGGTCTACATTTTATTATAACAATTTATTATCGAAAATTTAGTATGGTTTCTTTAATACTGACAGATCCATATGTGATTACTTTTTCATTGCCATTTATGTCGCAATATTTGACTGAGCTGCAGTCCGGAAGTTTTTCTGTTACCTAAAGGTAGCTTATCGAAGCCTTAGAAAGGTTTTTTATTTATTATTTTTTTTGCTTGTTTTTCGTGTGCTGGTCCTGCACCTTCTCTATAATTAGAGGGAAGCTAGCTGACGGCCAAAATGGGCGTAACAGACCAAAGTCCTTTTCGTTTCGTTAATAGCTCTTTTTTGTTCCAATTTTTTTGATGTACATAGTTTTTACTTGATTCTTCTAAAATTGTGCAAAGAACGATTTTACCCCTGCGTTTTTTTTTCTTGTTTTTTTCTTCTTTTTTTCCCTGCGTTTTCTCTCATTTTGTGGCTCCTTTTGTATTTTATTTTTTGACACATAATGTCTAGTAACTCCAACGTTAAAAATTTGTAGTTGGAATGTGAGAGGGATACACAATCCTATTAAGAGAAAGAAAATTCTTAGCTTTCTAAAGAAAGAACAGGTCCATATAGCCCTATTACAAGAAACCTATTTATCGTCTGCTGAGCACGCTAAGTTAAAACATGACTGGGTCGGACAGGTGTTTAGCTCTTCTTTTACTACCAAAAGCAGAGGTGTTGCCATCCTAATTAATAAATGTTTACCCTTACTTGAAGTTAAAACGGTCTCAGACAAATCAGGAAGATATATTATGTTAAGAGGCTCTCTTTATGGGCAAGACATTTCAGTTTTAAATATATATTTTCCACCTATTCAGACCACAGATTTTATTTCTAAGGTTTTTTCAAAATTTGCGGATTGGCTTTGTGACAACACAGTTATAGCAGGTGATTTTAATTGTTTTTTCTCCTCAGTAGTAGATAAATGTCCTTCAACACAAAATCATGGTCAGATGTCGAATAGAGCCAAAGCTGTTTTGGATACCTGCAAAGAACTTGGTCTGGTTGATACTTGGAGGGTGTTACACCCTAATGATAAGGAGTTTACATATTATTCAGCCGTTCATAAAACCAGTAGTAGAATTGACTTGATCTTCACCCCCAAAATTTCTTTTAGTAAAGTTGAGTATTGTAATATTGGGGATATTTTGATATCCGATCAAGCACCTGTCTGTATAGGCATAAATTTCAGTAACTTGACACTCCCTAAACAATGGAGGTATAATTCATACCTAAATTTTGACCCTAATTTTGAAGGTTTTTTAACAGAACAGATTAATCACTTTTTTGTAGAAAACAAAACTCCGGGTGTTTCCCCAGGGTTACTTTGGGATACAGCAAACACTGTTAAAAATTGTTCCGTTAAAAAACAGTAAAATACTGGCAGCTGCAGTTGCCAGCAATGTACTGTTATTTTACAGTATGTTGCTGTAAAAATACATGGATTACATTGATTTACACAATACTCAAGTGAACTCATTTTGCTCACTGAAAGCAACTGCCTCAACTTGGTCAACTGCTGAATGAGTTTATGAAGTAATGTGCTATATATGCTTAGAAGCATACTTATAATGATAACTTATTTTAGTTAATTAGAAAAGTTCGGTTTAACTCTAATGTCTTATTTTTCACAACAGCACACATACATGTAAATCTGGAATCACCAGAGAGATTCTGACTGCATCAGCAACCAAACAGCCGCTGTCTTTAAATAGAGAAACATGCAGAATAACATCAGCAGTTCATTGTTCATCTTTAACTCATACACTGGCTCTACTCTCCTCCACAACGGTGACACACAGAAGAAATTAGCTTCAGGTTTTACAGTAAAATACTGTTTTTTCCTTGATTTAACAGTAATCTACTGGCAGCTGTGGTTGCCAGCAATATACTGTTTTTTTACAGTCTACTTCCGTTGTGTAAATTAACAGTATATTACTGTTAAAATACATTTTTACACTGTGTTTTTACCTCTCACACCTTTAACCCTTTAAACCCCTGAGCAAATACTTCAGTTTTAATTGAAGTGTCCACACTACTGAGTGTTCAAGAAACATGGAGCAAAGCTGAAGTAAATTCATTAATTAACTGACTAATTAAATGATAATTGAGGATTAACAATGAACAAATGAAGAAATACTGAAGGGAAAAAACAAGAACAGAACATACAAAACTTTAGTCACAGCTTTATAATGAAATAACCTGAAGAACAACAAATGATTAAATCATTTAAATGATCAGCGGATGAATAAACAACTCTACAAACATCATCACCAGCTACACTTATTGCTTAATACATGTATTTTTGTATAACATTTACTAAAGTTCTTCTTGAGAAAAAGTTAAAGTTTTACGTCACCATCATGGAGAACAGAGTTTGCTTTAGTTGGGCTCTTAGCCCTGTCATTTTTAACATTTATATATCTTGGCTGCTGCAATTGTTAAAAACTTTGTTTAAAAAGCTCATTTGTTGTGGCAAGTCAGCCAAAAACCTAAATAAGATCTGGTGATGTTCATGTTGCTATTAAATGGCAGAGTCTGTTCTCATTTAGTATAATAAAATGTACAGCTCCTATTCAATGTTAATCTATTGGTTCACATTATATGTATGTATGTATGTATATATATATATATATATATATATATATATATATATATATGGCAATGATTTCTGGAAGTTTTTAAGAATATCTTGGACAATAACACTGCTCTATGGTGTAAATCGCACTCAAAGAGACATCAATAATCAGCATATGAACCTCAATAATGGTGACAACTAACAAAATTAACAGTTTAACTCACAAACAGGCAACTGAATCAAACACAAATAAAGAAAACTGTTAGACCATTATACAACATTTATTTATACCGCAATGCATGCTGGGATATTTGTACCGTGCCCCTACCAGCATGCATTGCAGCATGAAACATTTGAGATGTTACCATTGTTGAGATACAAGGTCAGATTCATGAGGTCTGAGTGTGTAATTGTCATAACTGAACTGTTTTTGTATGTTATTTCTTAACTGTTAAGTAATTACAGAGGTATCTTTTCTGTTTTCACTTCTCATTAATTAAAGTAATACCTGCAACTAAGCATAAAATCTATTGCATGATGCCCTTCATCCAGATTTACAACAAAACATTTATCAGAACTAATTTCAGACAAATAGATTTCTCTATTTATTGACTTCCTAACTTTATTGCTATAGTACAAATGTTTTGTAAACTCTGCATTACAGCAGTGGGAAAGTCTTATTAAATGAGTTCAAGGGTGAAGAGCCCAACTAAACCAGCCCCTCACTCCATTACGGTGACACAAAAAACACCTTAATTTCTGTTGGATCTCAATGAGAATAGTATGGAAGTCAAATCAGTCAGTAATAAGTGTGTGTCTGCTGTTGTTTGTGGAGTCGTTTAATGATCCTCTGCTGAGACTGAAGCTGTTTTATTTTATTTGATTTTATTTAATGTTGTAACTCAAGTCACTGTTTGTGTTTCTTGTTTATTTTCTTCAGTAATTGTAATTATTAACAGCAGGTGTTCATCAGTGTCTGAATTCACTCAGTGTTCATTAAAACTGTCAGGTGAACTATATTAGTTAACTAGTGTATGAAATAGTGAACAAGGACACAAAGTGTGATTTCAAACACAGACTTCAAAACATCGAATCTGAACTCTGTTAGCTCACAGTTTTCTGCAGTTGGTTACTTTCTCGAAAACAAAAATGTTACCCAGAAAGCACTGTTTTTAACACAATATTACTGTTTTAGTGAAAAAACATTATTTTACCATAGAATCTGACCGTTTTTTAACAGCAATTTTTTACAGTGAGAGAAACAATGAAGAAGATCAATCTGTAGACAAGAATGAGCTGATCTGAACACAGCAGCATCCTGGAGGACACTTCATCAACATCAATGATGACACTGATGAAGACTGAGACACACACACACAGACACACACTTACTCTCTCACACACACACACACGCACAAAAGCACGCACACACACATGCACACACACACGCGCGCACATGCACACAGACACAAACTTACTTTCTCACACACACACGCACGCGCACACACACACACGCACACACACACAAACACACACTCTCTCACACACACACACACTCTCTCTCACACACGCAAACACATACACACGCACGCACGCACAAACACACAGAAACACACACACACGCGCTCACATGCACGCACGCACAACAGTGAACACATACACACACACACACGTTTCTCTCTCACATACACACACACACACACGCACATACATACACGCACGCACACACACACACACGCGCGCGCGCGCACACACACACACAAGCACATAACAGTGAACACACACACACACATTCTCTCTCTCTCTCACACACACACACACACACAAAAGACACGCACACACACACAAACAGACTCTCACACACACATGCACACACAAACACACTGTCTGTCATGCACGCGCACACACACACACACACACACACACACACAAACACACACAAATACAAACTCCCTCTCTCACACACAAACATAGAAACTCTCACACACACATAAAGCAGTGAACGCATGCACGCTCACACACACACACACAAACGCGCACACTTTCTCTCTCTCACACACACACACACGCACGCGCTCTCTCTCACACACACACACACACAGACAGACACAAACACTTTCTCTCACACACACACACACACACACACACACACACACACCGTCTGTCGCATGCACACACACACTGCTGCTGACTGCTCCTGCAGAGGATTCTGGGTAAATATCTCGTCAGTCTTCAGCTCAGTTTCACTGATGATCCAGAATAAACAGTAAACCCAGGGCAGAGCGGCTCAGTGAATGTGGTCTGGACTGAGTGGATGAGGCTCATTGTGTCTCTATAGATGTTGTAGAAGATCAGAGTTCCTGCACTGTGATCCACAAACACTCCTATTCTCCTACTGAGTGGCTCTACTGGGAGATCAGTGTCTGTGTGATTGTGTCTGAATGAGAATCTGGAGGAAGAGCAGATCAAACTCCAGGACTGAGCATTATATCCAAACCAACACTCAACACCTCTTCCCTTCCTCCTGATGCTCTTATATGACACTGATATACAAACACCAACATCTCCACTCCAGTCAATCTCCCAGTAACAGCGTCCACACACACTCTCTCTGCACAACACCTGACGATGAACATCAAATCTGTCTGGATGATAAGGATACGGCTGATTCTCTCTCACACGCTTCACCTCTCTGTTCTCCTCAGACAGAATGAGTTGGGTGTGTGCTGTGTTTGGATCCAGAGTGAGGAAACAGACCCCTGAACACAAGAACACACACATTTATAACCACAGCTGTGTGTGTGCAATGTGTGTGTGTGTGTTTGTGTAAGAGAGAGAGAAAGGGTGTGTGTGTGTGTGTGTGAGTGTGAGAGAGAGAGAGAGAGGTTTAACAAAACCTTTAATTCAATAAAAAAGACAATTCCTTACATTTACAAACTCACATAATAATCATATAACTTACAACTTCAAAAACAAAAAACCCCTCATAAACAGTACACAAAACATCTTTAACACACCACAATTCACTAAAAAGCATTTCGTTATTTACAAGTTTGTAGTATGCAAATTCAATTTTAAGTCTATTTGCTACCAATTTCATGAACATTACTTCAGCATCAAGGTTGCAACAACGTCCAGAGAGACCATGACCATGATTTTTTCTTGTCATCCACATTGCCATTTTTGCTGTCCCAGTCAAATAATTCAACAGACATTTTGTTCTTCTTTCTGAATAACTATATTTTACACCACCTATAAAAACTTCATTTGAGAAAACCTCACCAAAATCATGAAACAATTTTTTAAGAACCTCAAAGAGACTTTTCAACCTTTTACATTTTAAAAACAAATGTTCTAAGTTTTCTTCTTCCCCACAAAACCTACATTCTCCTCCTACATCTGGGTTCAGGTGTGCAACGTGTTTATCTGTCGCTATTGCCCCGTGTACTATTCTCCATTGAAGATCTGCAGTTCATTTCTCCAAAGGTGGTTTATAAAAAGTTCTCCATCTATCTCTCACCAGAAAGTCTTGTTTTAACAAATCCGGCCACTTCGATATCTTCTGTTCTCTAAGAGACTTCTGATGTAACACTTTAATTGTTACATTGTATATGACTTTTTTTGATATACCTTCAAACCAATCCAGATGTGGAGTTTCAAATGATAGGATTGAACCAGCGAATTCATCATCTTGTCTTTCATTACATGCTGCAGCAACTTGTATTTTTGGAAAATCCACTTCATTCCTCTCTTCTGATAAAGTCTCGTGCCCAATGCTTCTTCTATAGCTGCTTGGTAATATATTAACAATTTCTTCTATTATCTTTTTAGTCAAGCGTGAGGATTTGAAACCTGTCACTTCTTTCATAGTTTCTGCTGATTCCCAGTGGTTCTTTTTCAACAATTGCCCAAGCTTCACAATACCATGTTTTTGTAAACATTCACGCACACTCATAGATGATAAAAGTCTTGTCTGAATCACAGGATTAAAAAACAATGGCTCTTCTTCAATCCATCTTCCAGGTTCATCCATATCTCTTTCCACTCTTAAAACAGTTCTCCAGTAATGCAACATTGAGCGGTAAAAAGATGTAATCCCAGAAAGGTTTATGTTCTTTAGTTCCATTAAAAACAAATGTCTATCCAGTTGAAGACCGCCTGCCTTTTGTAAAATCACTTTAGCAGTTTTATTCCAAGCTATTGATACAGCTTTTGATACAGAAATCTCTGTGCTGCTTGGATGCTGAAAGCACAGATCTTACTTTGAACGTCCACCAATCCTTGGCCTCCCTCACACACAGGAAGATAGAGGGCTGCTGCACAAATCCAGTGTTCTCCGCACCAAAAAAACTCCACAAATGTTCTCTGTATTTTGCAAATCAAATCTTCGGGTGGTTCCATTACAATGAGTCTATGCCATAAAAGTGAGGCGGCTAAATTATTTATGACCAGGACTCGACCTCTATATGACATTAGAGGTAGTAACGATTTCCACTTGGACAAACGGGCAGTCACTTTTTCCAACATTCCTTCCCAGTTTTTTTTTTTTAATTGTTCATTTCCCAAAAAAACACCTAGTATTTTCAACCCTTACCTTTGCCACAACAAACCACCAGGTAAATTTGGAAGCCCATTTTTCCATTGACCAAAAATAAAAGCTTCACTTTTGCCCCAATTCACTCTTGCTGATGATGCCTTCTCATATTTACCAATAGCTTCAGTTAAAATTTGTATATCATCCTGATTTGAAATAAAAACAGTGACATCATCAGCATAAGCTGATATTGAAATGCCATTCATAGCATCGTTACAATGAATTCCACTTAAATTCTTTCTTAACCTACACAATAATGGCTCAATAATAAGACTGTATAATTGTCCAGAAAGTGGACAACCTTGCCTAATACCTTTTAATACAGGTATAGGTGCACTCAATCCTCCCCCTGCTTTCACAATTACAAAAACCTCAGAATATAATAACTTAATATATGATATAAAATCACATCCAAACCCGAAGCTTTTCAAAACTTCAAAAAGATACGTATGGTTAACCCTATCGAAGGCTTTTTCTTGATCTAATGAGAGCACTCCCAGATCGACATTATTAAATTGATTAAAATCAACTATATCTCTTAAAAGAAAAACATTATCTATTATAGACCTGTTTGGAATGCAATATGTCTGATCATTTTTTATCAAGGAATCTAAAACATATTTCAGCCTATTTGCTAAACATTTCGAGAGTATTTTATAGTCCATACACAATAATGAAACGGGTCTCCAGTTGTTTAAAAGACATAAGTCTCCCTTCTTAGGTAGTAATGTCAGGACTGCTCATCTGCAACTAATGGGAAGTAGCTTGTTTTTTATGCTTTCTAGTAAAACCTCATACAAGTCATTTCCTAATAGGTTCCAAAAAGTCTTATAAAACTCTGCGGGCAATCCATCAATTCCTGGAGAACGACCATTTGATAACTTACTCATTGCTTCTGTAATCTCTTGAAAAGATATTGGATTATCCAAGGATTTTCTCTGTTCATTTAACAATTTCGGTAGATCACTCAACAAGTCCAAGGCACATTCATGATCACAAATCTCAGATCCATACAAATCAGTATAAAATTTGTGTGTCTGCTTCTTAATTTCTACTGGATCCGAAGTTATAACTCCATCAGAACGGCGAAGATGAATCATTTGTTTTTGTTGAACACTTTTCTTTTCAAGATTAAAAAAGTATGAAGTAGGTGCATCCATGTCCTTAATTGAACAAATCCTCGCTCTTATTAAAGCTCCTTTCACTTGCTCCTGAAGTAATAACCCAAGTTCTTTCTTTTTATTCAAAATGTTCATTGTGTGCACTTCCATCATTACTGTTGAGAAGAGTATTCTCCAGGGCTTGTAAATCTCTTTGAAGTTTTTGTATTGCTACCTTTGTTTTAGAAGTAGAAAGTGAACTGTAATTTTGACAAAAAATTCTAATATTTGCCTTACCAACCTCCCACCACATATATAAGTTTCCAAAAGAACCCTTTTTTAGCTTCCAATCATTCCAAAAATCCTTAAACTTTTCACAAAATAAAGAATCATTTAGCAATTTAGTATTAAAATGCCAAAAATAATTTGGTTTTGAACTTTTTTTCATGGTTAAACCAAATAATATCAAATGATGGTCTGAAAATCCAACAGGTAAAATAGAGACATCAGTAATTTTATAATTCCATTCTTTACCTATATAAAACCGATCTAACCTAGCTCCACTGACCCTATTATTAGACACTTTTAGCCAAGTATACTGTTTAATTCCTGTATTTCTCCTTCTCCAAATATCTATTAATTCAAAACTTTTTAAAATATTTAATAAAACATCAGCTGATTCTTGGTGAGGTTATTCTCTATTTCTATCAATAGTAAAGTCAATAGTGCAATTCCAGTCTCCTCCAATAATAGTACAAACCTTATAATCAATTTTCTGAATGGCATTCTTTAACTTTAAAAATTGTTTGACGCTCTGGCCCATTATTAGGTGCATAAACATTTTTTAAATTAAACACAAACCCTTCATATTCAATCTTTAAGTGCAATATTCTTCCCTTCACAATCTCGTCTACTACCAGAATTTTAATATTCATATCTTTGGAAAAAATAATTGCTATGTCAGCGCTTATATTTGTTCCATGACTTAAAACACTTTTCCCCTTCCACCAACCAGTCCACTCTAATTCATTATCTATAGTAGTATGAGTTTCTTGTAAGAAGGCTACATTTATTTTATTAACTTTAAATAACTCTGATACCATTGCCAATTTATTTCTATCTCTGCCCCCATTTATATTTAAAGAGCCCACCCTCAACAGCTCCATAGAAAAGAGTGAAAAGATGGAGAACAGAAAAAGAAAGAAAAAGCAAAAAGTCCCATTTACCTTGCATGCATTAAACATTTGATCTCTTTTTCTTTTTGGAGACATTTGCCTTTTCCTTTCTCAACCTTGTTAACAATTTTCTCAACCTAAATCTTTTCTGTTTGCTTAAAGCATCATAACTAACATTTTTTTTTGCCACAATTTTACTGAGCGGATGAATTTGTCAACATCAGAAAAGAAATCATTGATTTCAAAAACTTTACCAAAAGTTTCATCCAGAAAATCATTTATGTCCTGCAGTGTGTATACATCATCCACATTTCCACACTGTGACCCAATTTCGGATATATCAGAAAATAAATCATCATCTCTCATCTCCATACCAGCATCGTACATATTTCAACCATACTGGCCATTTCACCAACCTCATCAGAAGTTTTTTCAACACTAACCAAAGTTCCATCAACTCTTACAGCATTTTTTTCTAATTCAGAAACGTTTGGAATTTCACCAGATTCAAGTACTTTATCAATCTGTCTTTCAGTAATCTCAACATTACCGGTACTCATCATCTGAGGTGCAACTTCAGTTTGCACAACCTCTACAACAGGTGCAATGTTAGAACTGCCATTTTCTCCAGCAGTAGAAATACTAGGCCTCACTTCCAAAACATTAATCTGGGCTTTATGAGGACATAAATATTTTTTGTGCCCTATGTCCCCGCACTCAAAGCACCTCATGCTTCCAGTATTCGCATAAATAACAAATGCTTTCCCTTCATGCATGACTCTGAAAGATATGTCTAACTCCGGTTCATTCAAGAACATAAACACCTGGCGTCTAAAAGACATCACATGTTTCAGAGCAGCGTTTTTACATCCCAACGGGATCATCTTTATCTCACTAGCCAGTTTTCCATATCTTAACAGAGCTTTCTCAATTTCCTCATTTTGAATAAACGGAGGCACATTAGACACCGTAACTTTAGTCGTTGGAGTAACAAGCGGTGAAATAAAAAGTAAATCGCCACTTACCACAATTCCGTCGCTTATCAAACAATTCACTAGCTCTTCTTTCTCAACGAACACCACAACAGCTTTGTTCATCCGCGATGCCGAAGTAATGTTTTCATATCCAACTTTTTCCCTGATCGCTACCAACACATCCTCAACAGTAACTCCCTGCGCTGGCACACACCTTACTCCTTGACGAAGCGACACATTTGGCGCTACCCCCTCGGGGATAGACGCCATCCTATCGCCGCCTCAAAACTCGCAAAAACCAAATCAAATGTTTTCATACATGTGAATTGAAAACAAGAGAAAAAATGAAAAGTTTAGGTGTAAAGAAAAAACACCAATTCAGTCAAACTCTCCCCGTTATCACCCTCACACGCACCCCAAACACTCCCAGCATGCACCGGGAGAGAGAGAGAGAGAGTGTGTGTGTGTGCGCATTTGTGTGTGTGTGTGTGTGCATGCGTGTGTGTGTGACAGAGGGAGTGTGTGTTGTGTGTGTGTGTGTGTGAGACAGAGAGAGAGACAGAGAGGGGGAGTGTGTGTGTGTCCATGTGTTCACTAATGTGTGTGTGTGTGTGTGTGTGTGTGTGTGTGTGTGTGTGTGAGAAAGAGAGAGGGGGGGAGTGTGTGAGTGTGTGTTTGTGTGTGTGTGTGTGAGAGAGAGAGAGGGTGTGTGTGTGTGTGTGCATGTGTTCACTGCTGTGTGTGTGAGCGTGAGAGAGAGGAAGTGTGTGTGTGTGTGTGTGAGAGTGAGTGTGTGTGTCTGTGTGTAAGAGAGGGTGCATGCATGTGTGCGAGTGTGTGTGTATGTCTGATTGTGTGTGAGCATGTGCGTGTGAGTGAGAGGGTGTGTGTGTGTGTGTGTGTGTGTGTGTGAGAGAGAGTGAGTGTGTGTGTCTGTGCGTGTAAGAGAGGGTGTGTGTGTGTGTGTGTGCACGTGAGCATTTGTGTGAGAGTGCATGTGTGTGTGTGTGTGTGAGTGTGTGTCTGATTGTGTGAGTGTGTGCATGTGTGTGTGTGTTTGAGAGAGAGTGTGTGTGTGTGTATTCCTACATTTGCGTGGTCCTGCTGTAATCCTCGTCTCTCCTCCATGATCCAGACTGTAAACACACACAGATTGACATTCAGTCAGTACACAAACATCAGCTTATAACACACACACACACACACACACAGACACACAAACACACACACACACATGCGCACACACACACACGCACACGCACGCACGCACACACACACACACACAATAGTACATGTGGATTGTGTGCTGAATGCTGGATTGTGATTGGCTGATCTCAGTGCATTAATTACTGCAGTAAAACAACATGAGTGTGTGTGGAGCTGTCAAATCAGCTTCTGAATGACACACAGAGCTTTTAGATCAGATGTGGAAACAGAAAACAGAATGGAAACACAGAAACAGACAGATATAAAGACTGAAGGATTCATTCAATGATCCATTGACAAAAGCGCAGCACAATAATAAAGCAGAATTCAGTGTTAAATGACTTGAAATATGATGGAGATCTTCATCTTCTGTCAAATGCCTCTTCATCATTTCTAAACATTGCTAAGTTGGAGAGTAGTGAATCCAGACCAATCTGCAGTCCTCCTCGCCCTTTGGAAGCTTCGTGGGTTTGTGTTATGTTTATTGTTCATAATACTTCAGTTATAAAGGATTAGTTTAGGAGTTTTTTGTCATTTGCTTTATTTGAGTTTGTTCAACATGTGATTGTCACTGGACTATATCAGAACCAGCATCACTGTCTGCTGATCACTTTTATTGCCTGATATTTTGTGTTCATGTTAGTTTAGAAGCAGAAAAGAGCCAGATTACAAGATATGTGAGATATTTGCCAGAAACATCTTTGTTATGTCCACATTGTGAATGTAAATTGATATTGTTTATTTTCTTCCTGTTTATAGTTTTACTCCGCCCTTATTAAAGTGTGATAAAGGACATTCTGTGTCTTTGAAGTTAATGAGGGAGAGTTTAACTTGCTGTTAAAGTATACACAGGACGTATTTGGAGAACAGTACACACACATCTCTGACCTGATACTGTACAGTTCTTCAGCAGAAATGTAGAGAACAAGTTTCACTGCTCAACTACAATGCTGAAACTGTACAGTGTTAATATGAGATATAATATAACGCTTAATGTGAGAACTGCCCCAGTGCACTGACATATTTAACAGCTTTGATTAATATCTGGACACTAGAAGAGCAGTGAAGTATCAAAGTATCTGTATTCACAATAAAAAAGGCAGTGCTGCTCCACATACTTGAGTTTGTCCAGTGTGTAGTTTGGATCCTCCAGTTGTTCAGAGAGCAGCTTGACTCCTGAATCTCCTGGATGATTGTAGCTCAGATCCAGCTCTCTCAGGTGTGAGGGGTTTGAAGTCAGAGCAGAAGACAGAAAACCACAGCCTTCCTCTGTCACCATACAGCCAGACAATCTACAAACACAGCAATAGTCCAAATCACACAGTTGGACAATCACACATCTCTTTGTGTTGTGAAGATGCTGACTGCTGTTTCTGCTCATGTCAACAGCAGTGATGAACACACACATCCTGATCAGCTCTCCTTATTGATCGAGCCCTCGCATCAGCAAACACACACACTCACACACTTAACAAGGTCTCGACATCATCTGTAGAAGTGTACAGAGCAAAGACATTGTTCATAATACACCACATCAAGCTGTAAAGTCTGCTGTGAGGAGGAAGAAGACACATTTGAGCTCAGAAGATCATCTTAAAGTCATGTATAAAACACAACAGGAAATGAGCTGATTTCATCATTTATATTGTGATTCTGTTGTGGACTAAAACAAAATGAGCTCAGACAAACACAAACCCGCTCTCTTCATGTGTTCATCACCTGACCCACAGTCACATTCCCCTGTCAGACAGACACGAGCCCTGATCAATAAGAGACTGAGCTGAAGGAAAATGATTGAGTGATCTTCAATCTGCTTCAACACACACATTTGTATAGATATGAATAAATCACAGCCCTGCAGATGTTTGGTTTCTCCTTCTGCCAATCCACTAAAGGGGCTCCACATCTGGTAACACCTGTTTACACTGCTGTTAAAGCAGGTAAAGACACATTTACACCTGTAATCTGAAAGCACTGTTAGCGCTGCACTTTACCCAGGGTTATGAAGCGCTGCTATGGAGTGGTGTTAGCATCTTGTTTGTAATCTTAACACTGCATTGTGGTTAGGGTTGCAATGATTAACCGGTTTCACTATTAAACATGCTTTAATTCATCACGGTTTATTAATCCTAAAGATTTCTCAACATCGTTTTTCTGCATGGATTAAAACTGCTGCAACTAAACAAAGTTATGGCCACTGTGCCACACTTAACACATATAACCACACACACTGTATTAACTTTGACTGTGGGTAAATAAGGCAAGTTCAGGCAAGTCTATTATTACCAATGGAGAGAGCTTTTGTGACTGCAGAAAAAGCAAACGGCTGAAGTTTGAGGAAGACACAATGAAAAGTCTACAGGTTTGCAAACCCACCTACAGTTACAAACAATGGCGCTGATGAGAGCGTTGATGAGGTGAATGTTGATCCGCCAGCCGAGAGAGTTTTTTCAGAGAGAGTGCTGAAAGACTCAGAGTGTCTCAGCTGATTAATGGCCCGAATCTTGATTTTTACCACAAATGTCCGCTAAATGTAAAATCTAACACTTAACACTTCATCGCTAAAGAAGCTTCCCTTTACTAAGTTTAAACTGAAACTGCAGCTCATGATGAAGAACTGTACGGTTTTGAGCCGGTGGTCATCATGAGAATCCTGCTCTGTCTGCTCATATATTGGGTCGTCTGGCTTGTCTGCTTTATTCTACAAACACAGGAAAATGTAAATCAGTGCATAACAAGACTGAGCATTTACAATGACACGAAACATTTAAAGAGCGACAGAAGTGAGACGTTTCTTCCTTTCTTTTATTTTCCTATTAAGTTACTGATGACTGCTGTGCAGCTTTCTGCATTGAACTGAAAGATTAATTATAATATTTTGTTTGTTTTCTAGCAGAAATATTATTTATTAAATTAACATGCAGATAAAAACAATTAATATATAATAAACAAATAATAAATAAATATTTATTTCTGCAATGCTTCATTTGTGTTTGATGCCAGTTTATTTTCATAATGTAACAGTAGTAAAGAGCAGTAAACAGACTTTTTGTAGCAGGTAACTCACATTCAAGCACGTTCAAGGCAGCCTGATGATTAGAAATGTTATTCATTGTTAGTGTTATTGACATCAATAATGTTTTATAATTATTAGACGTTCAATTTGGATTTACTGTGCAAATATCAATAAGTCATTGTGATTACAGGATAAGTTAGTTAGATAAATATTTTTGGTTTTTGTTAGTCTTGACTGATCATGTTTTCAAATACAAAAATCTGTTAATAATCTATGTTCAGTGGAGCTCCTACATTTATTCTGTTGCTCCTGCATTTCTTCCGGCGCTCCTGCATTTATTCCGGCACTCCTGCATTTATTCTGGAGCTCCTATATTTATTCTGACGACCCTACATTGTAGGTTCTCCTACATTTATTATGGTGCTCCTACATTTTTGAAGTTGGGAGCACCGGTGCTTCCAATTGACTTCCATTCAACAGTGAGTTTAACATCGCTCAGCTATTGGTCAAATTACATCACTGGTAAGTTCACAGATGAGTTTGACTGTTCTCCTTAAGGCATGCAACAAGTGGTGAGTTAATGCTGCATAATGTATTTTATTATTGGACAGTTGCTGTAGGTGTTGATTAACATTTGATTAAATGGTGTTGATAAATATGTTATCATTTATTTTATATTTAATGAGTGAAATTATTTTTAGGTACCCAGTTTAGAGTAATTATGCCTAATAAAACTTTAATTAATTCATTTAATTAATTTATTTACTTAAAAAAATATTACATTTAAAGTACTACGTTCAAAAATATTTTTAGCTAATCTTTAAATTTTTTTATTTACTCGTTTAAGTTGTTGCAATCTATTTTTTTACACTCTATAGTCACAATCCCAAGGTTCATTGAGATCCCATGTTTCACTGCAGTTTTCCACTCATTAAGTAAAAAGTAAACAAATAAAGACGATTTGTTGATTCAGATAAGGAGTTTGTTTAGAACCTTTATAAAAAGCTTGACAGTCACATTCACACTGATAGAGCATTAGGGGACCTTTATTCTGTCAGGAGAGAAACACCTGATCAATAATCATGAGCACTGACTCTCCTTCACACACAGCCTTTCTGACAGAAGAACTTCAGTCAATAAATTGCTTCATGTGAATGAGTAATCAGGGTTCCCCTTCGGTTGGGGAACTTCAGTGCCATAGAGTGGATTGATTGAAATCCACGAAATGGGAGGATTCGGTTCAGAAGCCGCTTGTCTGAAAGAGTATTGAACGGGCCAATGAATGCAATGAATTGGCAGCGTAAGCTTGCACAGGTGTACTTCATTGCCAATTATCCCAGCATATAAGCACACCTAGAGCGAGCAAACGCCATCCTTTTCGCTTCAGAGACTTTCTGATTGAGTCGATGAGGGTTCCTCCTGCTGTGACCAGCGATTCTGAGCGAACGAGAGCATTCTCCCGGTCCAGAGTGTATACACGCAGCGGCAGACGGTCGAGCTGGGTTTCTCCCTTGCCTGGCGTTCTTTGGGTCCGGTCCTCCAGAGCGGTGCGTATAAAGTTGCAAACTTCACAGAAAGAGCAACACAGTCGTGCAGCACGTCCTTTTCAGGACGGCGCTCCGACTGTGCGTTTCTGGATGCGGTGGTTTCCTGTCCTCGGATGATGGGCACGGGCACTGCGTTACATGTCTGGGGGGTCCAGCATGTTAATGCGCTGCTCGCGGGCAGTTCATGTCGTCATTACGATGCCATGACTGTTGCGCAGTAAAGATCGCGGCTAGCCTTTGCAAAAGGGCGAACCACCCCAGCTGTCCCCTGCTCTGCAGCGGGCACTCGGGCAGATCTGAGGGTTTCAGCGAGAGATAATCCGTCGCCCACGGGCACGCGGAATTCCCACTCCTCTAAGCGCTCCATCCAAGCTTCGGACGGGGGAAGCGATCCATCTAACAGATAGTAGCCCTTACGCCCGATGACACCGGAGACCAGACGTCCACTGCGGCATCGGAGGGTGGGCTTTCATTGTGCGACGATGATCCAGACCCGCTCGCCCCCTTCGGGCTGGTGAGCGCTGTCACTACGGATCCTGAAACGGACATGTTAGCCGTGCTTTCCCGGGCTGCTTCGGTTTATCCCCCAGCTCCGCGGCCGGACTGACTAGAGGGGCGTTCCCTTCTTCCCGGAGGTGCACAGTAGGCTCACGCGGTCTTGAAAAGCACTTTTTTCTGCTCGTGCTGCGTGTCCCTCCACCCTCACCACTCTTGGCGGTGGAACAGCCAGGGGGTATGTGGCGATTCCTCAGGTTGAGTGTGCAATGGCGGTCAATCTGCGCGGCGCCTCTTCTTGGCGGGGTCCGCCTCGTCTCCCATCCAAAGCCTGTAAGTTATCTGCCTCCCTCGGAGCTAGAGCTTACAGAGCTGCGGGCCAGGCTGCTTCCGCCTTGCATGCGATAGCCACCTACCAGCGCTACCAAGCGCAGGCGCTGGCCGAGCTGCACGAGGGTGGGTCCAACCCAGGCTTACGAGCTTAGCACCGCCGCCGACTTAGCTCTTCGGACTACTGAGTCCGCTGCGTGTGCGTTGAGGAGGACGATGTCCACATTAGTGATCCAGGAGCGCCACCCCTGGCTCATATGTGCGAAGTCGACAAAGTCCGCTTTCTTGACTTTCCCCATATCCCAAGCCATGTTCGGCGACACTGTCTGTGAATTCACCCAGGAATTCAAGGCGGTGAGAGAGCAGTTGATGGGTGATGTCTTATCGGCGGTCTGTAGCCCGCTCCGCCCGCCGTGCCATTCATACCTGCTCCTCGCCGAAGGCGCCCGCCTACGAGAGCTGCTCCGCCCCCGCACACGCCTCTGGCGAAGCGAGCACGTCGGGCACCTCGGAAGCAGGTAGCCCCCCTGCCCAGAACGCCGCTAAGTCCGGCAACGGACCGCGAAGCGTCCCTGGAACAGGCCATCTGGAGAAAAGGGAACTTGCTCTTTCCCCGCTGGAGGGCGGGGCCCCATTTTAAACGGCACTTTTTTATTGCCATGAAAACATTATGAAAGGGCATTTTTCCACTTCCCCGGATGTGACAGCCCGAAATCTGCCAGTCTGGGACGCTATGCTTTCTAGCTTGCAGATTCGATGCGTTTCGCCAGTGGCTCACGAGCGCTGGGAGGACGGTCTCCTTTCTCCCAACCCTCGAGCCTCCCCTCCGGAGCTCGGGTGCGGAGTGAGAGCAAATATCTCGCCTCCAGCTTTTCCGTGGGACCCGCGCACTTCCCGGATCAGC